CCCACTCTTCCACCCCAACCACCCGCCCCACCCACCCCACATTCTCGCGCATAATGTATACGAGTGGTCCGGTATTCTAATCTTCCCAAGCTGCAATTGGTATTTCATTACTCTTGGTGCCAAAACCGGAGATTGCCACAACACTGGCATTTAGATTGTGGAGAAAACTCGAAACAAGATCTCTGGCAACAGAAGTAAGAGACGTCTGTATAATCTAGAAATCTAGATCTAGATCTAATTACAATTAGGGAGCTAGACCACCCTCAGGTTGAGCAGACAGTTAAAAAATGATCAGCAGTCAAGACGTTTACACCATTCTTCAATTTCGCCTGAAAAGTCTGTCTACTAGATATCTAGCTAGATTTTCTAAGTGTTGAACGATGACTACTTTGCTGACTGATGAGCGTCAGTGACAAAGTAAAATGTGAAGTGAAAAAAAGTGAGCAAAAACAATGTATCAAAACAATAGCCCTCAATTTCAATAATTGTTGCAAACATAAGGAAAGAACTTGACGTTGATCCCATGCCATATTTTTGAATAATCTGCAACTTCTCGTCGAGATCGCTCTGATGCTGTTACCTAAAGACAATGCTGAACTTAGGAGACTTGTCCCGCACGGCGAACGTTCAATCCGCCGCCATTGCAGAGATGACAACAACCGAAATGTGTAATCGAGGTTTTCTGTTTACGATACTTTCCGTTTGTTATTGCATGTGTTTTATCTTTCCCTTAGAGAATTTACCTTCAGGATCTTTGACGCCTTTAAGTCATTTACTTCGACTGCTACCCCTACAAAATGGTTTTAACCAAATTTTATTTCATAATCAATAAGTTTTAATCAAACTCAATAAGCACGTTTCCGATTATTTAAATATGTTATCGATACTTTTCAAGCGTCAGGAGGACCCTAACAACAACCATACGCTTGCCAGGATTTTTCTAGGTGCATCAAAGAGGTGGGAACGGACCAGAGAACAATCTTTGGCATTGCACCTCTCATTATAATGTTATTATTAATTATGGTCTATGTCCATATTATGTTCTATACGAAAAAAGCAAGCCAAAACAAAGATATATAAATAACTGACCAAAAAAAAGCTGTACTTACAGTTACCCGTTTGCAGCCGTAGATCTATAGGCCTACGGTACAAATATATTATAGGCCTACTAATTTTATTTGTTCCACATTATATTCATATTCCTCATCCGCAATATTATTAGGCCTATATTCATTGATATAATATCAACATGCGTGAAAGATTAAGTTTCCAATCAGTGCGAACTAGATTACAAAGGGTTAGATTGCAGTAATCTTGAGTGCGCTGTTTCCAATAAATAGAAGGGTGAGGGAGAGTAATGGGAGAGATGCGTGTGTGTGTGTGTGTGTGTGTGTGTGAGAGAGAGAGAGAGAGAGAGAGAGAGAGAGAGAGAGAGAGAGAGAGAGAAGAGAGAGAGAGAGATCGAGAGAGAGAGAGAGAAGGGAGGGGGGTGGTCTAAACCAACGATTATTTAAGTTGGTAACAAAAAGGAATATATTTGTAAGCGCAGTAAAGGCCTTTAAAGTAGGCCTAATAAATAGAAAACTATATATATATTCGCTATTATTGTTCAGATCTAATAATTAAGTTTCCAACTTCAACATTTTACTCTAGATTCGAGTGGCGAAGACATAATATGTACAATCCATCATACAAAAATTGAGAGACGTCATGACACCTCCATTTTCTTTTTAAGAATGCTATGTCAAATTTCTACAATTCTTTTTAAAATCCCATATAAATATATACACTTATACATATATATAATATCACACACACACAACGTACACACACATTCACGGTCACTCACGCAAACACATACGCGCGCTTGCGCGCGCACATATATTCACACTAAACGCGACACAATTGGGGTACTCATCTTTCAGATCCATAAGAAAACGAACACAAAAAATCAGACTGGTGATCAAGCACCCCCCCCAAATTTTACAATTGTGGAAAAATACCAAAACAAACAAACATTTTTGTATGAAAGGCTTAACTCCAAAAAATCAGTTCTAATTCTAATCATAACTTTCTGTTGATGATTTTTTTAAAAAACGTGTCTGTCAAATTTTTGGGCATTTCGCATCTTTAATTGTTTCTTTATAATTATGTAGTTTCCATTTGAACTACATAACGTAGGAAACATTGATTATAAGTGACAATATTTATCACAGACTAACAGAATTTTGAAAATCACACAAGGTAAGAAAAAGAGAATAAGGCTGGTCTCTGGATTTTAAGTATGATATGTTTATACAGAAAGTCCTTTATACGAAAGAGACAGTTTAATGTACCTTAAGCTCTTAAGAATTGGGCATGGATTAGCTAGACAACATTAAAGTTCTATAATTAGAATCGTTAGGATCGTTCTCAAAGAAAAAGTTGATCACACAAAAATAGCGACACTTCACTCCAGGGTGAATGGTAGAAACAGGTAAAATACTTCTGGTTACCCCCCCCCCCTCCCTCCCTCCAGACCCACTTTGTTGTTTGTTTGTTTTTGTAAGTGTTTTACGGCTCTCGCAACTGCATAAGGTCATATGAGCGCGCGGGACACACCTAATACTTTTAGTTGGTAGGAAATTTTGAATTTTGCCCGGGTGGCGGCCGAAGC